TTTGGTGTGTCCAGTCCCTAAAGACCTCATGCTTGGCCTCCTTCTCAACAATTCTGCCTTTACAAATGTGTGTGGAAAGATGGTATCTGGCCATCAGATGCATCATCTGACATTTCACAATGTTCTTGCTGAGTTAATCCTCCTATTTTTCAAGGGCTGTAGTAGTAAGAAAGGCCATAAATTACCTGCACTATTGTTTTTGTTGTTAACTCGAACTAAGAAAAATGGAAGACTTTTCATGTGCCAACCTTTTGCTTTGTAGCCTGAAGTTTTATGGTAAGGGTCTCCTGTTTTGGGTGACGAGGTTTTTTTCCCAGTAAGTGTGGTTGTGTTTGAAACAGAAAATGGAAAAATGGCCAGAGCAGTCGCAGTCCTTCTCATGATGATGGTAAAAACCTTTACCAAAGTTCTGATGATTCTGATGTTTATAGCTTGGAATATTTTACACACATGTTCCAACTTTGCATCCACAACATTTGTTAAAGCAACAAGCCTGTAGCAGACACGAGAGCTACCATCAGGAAACTTGTTTGACAGTTTAAACAGGCAGCATCTGTGTTTCCTACATCTCACAGTACACAAAAAGAACAAGGATAGCCCATAACTCAATTAATTCAAGATGTTGTCGCATGGTGGAACTCTGTGTTTTGGAGATGTTAAAAAAAAAAAAACAAAACAAAAATGTAATTGAAAAAAGGGATTTTGCTCTTGTATTTGGCTGAGTTTCATCACTATCACCTCCTCGGTGGGATATTATTGAGAGCAGTTGGCTCGAATTTGGAGAATTAAGATAAATTGGTGATCATCAGGACTGTCCTCCTGTACTTCCACCTACGTCTCTGTTGAAAGTTAATTCAGGATTTTCAAATTTCTAACTAATGTAAGAGATTTGAAGTGGGTGCCACTTAAGCATCTTTTAAAATAACTCTGAAATCGTCACTGCTGTCAACAAAAGGAGCAGTTGCATTGCAGGGCTTGGGTTCAGCAGAGCACATAAACAGATGCTTAGGGCTAAGCCCACGAGGAATGTTTTGATGAGGTGGACTCCAGGAGAGCCAGGACACCAGCTCTGCAATAGGGGACATAAAACATTGCAGCATTTTGGTTATAATTAAAAGGACCATGTTTGGGCATCTGCTTCAGAAACTTTCCAGATTTATGTTGCTGTAAGGAACTAAGGGAAAACGAAAATTTGATCTCCTCTGACAAAACCTGGGTGGAGGGAAGAGGTGGGAACACTTTCCCAGGAGCTGTAGCCGTGGATCAAATTGCGATAGCGGTGCTGAACGATATCTGAGCCCGTGATTTCATCTGCCGGCTTCAGGGGGGCTCTTTGCAGGGCAAGATGTTATTCAGTGTGTTGTGTCTGAGCCTCTGGCTCTTGCCTCTGGTAAGGTGAGGTACTTCTGTCCACAGGAGCAGGTTTGACACAGGCTGCTGAGCTGAGCCATGTGCTGGTGCGATGAGGGACCTCTCTGGTGAGTGAACCCACAAATACCCCAGTTCTGTGCCGGTGTCTTTACTGTCTTTACTGCTCAGAAACCCTTCCCCACACATCTTTCTGGCTTTTTTTTTTTTTTTTTTTTTTAATAGAGGACATGCAGGGAAAATCATGCACACTTATTTGAAAATTTATGGGCTGGCCTGAAGTATTATCTCTGGGGAGGACTCCTTGGGTCAGTCAACATGAATTAAAACCAAATGTGCCTGTTTTTCGTGTTTACTCTTTCCATAAACACAGCACACATGCAGTGTGCAGCTGCTGTCCTGAAAGGGGTTTTTCCCCCTGGTATTTGGGGGATCTGTACTTTAGGAGCGTGTTCTATTGACAGGGCTGTGGAAGGAACAAGTGATGCTGCACCGTCTGACAAATCATTTATCAAACTGTCTGGAAGAACTTCAAGTAAGGTAAGACAACAGTGGAGTCAGAGCTAAGACACAGTGCATGTGAGTAAATAAAAAGCAACAAAAAGTCAATGCCTTTCCCCTCTGCTTCTGTCAACTCCAGAAGAAATGAGATTGAAAGGTGCAGAACATTTCCCTGGGGGGAGATTACCGTTTATTTTTATTGATTAGGGCTCTCAGGCTGTGACCTCAAGCACTCCTGGCAGTCTCTCCCCCTCCTTTAGTCGCTCCTCGCTGCTGATTCTTGCTCTGACAAAGCAGTTTGTGGTTCCCCTTGGCAGTGAAGGCTCCTCAGAGGCAGAGCTGCCCTGATGCTCCATTCTGGTGTGCTCAGGCAAAGCCTGACAAGAGCAATGTGCTGAGCAATCACTGCATCCTGTGAAGGCACCATTCCTCCTTCTGTAAAAAAAAACCAAAAAAAAGATGTTTAATCAGCCCCACAGGAACTCAGACAAGGACAATGAGGGTCTGGAGCGTGTCCAGGGAAGGGAATGGAGCTGGGAAGGGGCTGGAGCAGCAGGAGCAGCTGAGGGAGCTGGGGGGGCTCAGCCTGGAGAAAAAGGAGGCTCAGGGGGGACCTTCTGGCTCTGCAACTCCCTGACAGGAGAGAGGAGCTAGGTGGGATTTTGTTTCTTCTCACAGGTAACAGGAGAGAGAAGAAGAGAAAACAGCCTCAATCTGTACCAGGTTCAGACTGGAGGTGAGGAAACATTTCTTCCCTGAAAGAATGGTCAGGCATTGGAACAGGCTGCCCAGGGAAGTGGTTGACTCACCATCCCTGGAGAGATTTAAAAGCCATGCAGATGTGGCACTTGGGGACATGGTTTGTTAGTGGCCTTTGCAGTGCTGGATTAATGGGTGGACCTGATGTTCTTACAGGGCTTTTCTAACCTTAATGATTCTGTGAAGGGACTGTAAGTGCAATGAGCACTGCAGGGGGGGGTGAAAGCCCACTAAGCAGTTGCTCTAGCGAGGAAATGACAGATAAGGGGAAAATTGAAATATCCCCATGAAGATTGTGGGGGCAGATGAGGAACATGGGTTTATGTGATTAACCCAATCCAGAGTCAGCCAGGACGAAATCCTCAGTTTGGATCTTCAGGACAACTGAAGTGCTTGATGGGTTCATGCAGGACTTTAAGACTCCATTCTTATGGCAATTTAATGATATTTCTGAACTGAAAGTGAAGGAAGACCATGTTTTACCACACAGCTGCAAGGTTCTTCAGATAAAAGCAGAATACAGAAACTTACCCCAGAAACATAACATTAACCAGTCTAAATGCTCATTCTCCTGTGGTTTATTCCATTTTTTCCCTTCAGACTACAAATGAGGATGTCCTTTTTTCCTAGGCATTTTTTGGTATCATTAACCAAGTCTCTGGGTAGGGGGATCTGCAGGACATGGCAGCAACCGATGGAAAAGGGCACTGAAGCTTCATGAGGTCCACGCAGTGAGAAACCAGCCCTACAGCTGCAGGACCCAGGCAGGGTGTGTGGCCTTCTGGCTGGCCAAAAAACCCTGTAAATCCTTTTGTCAGTGCCAACACCAGCTATCTTGTAGCTCGGGGTGTGCAGTTCGCTGGATCGGCTGATGAAGCAGAGCTTCATCTTTGCCTGAGTTGGTGGGAAGGTTTTGACCTGCTGTTTTTCTTTCCTTGTTTTCCTCCCCAACAGTTTCCATGGGTAGCAATTATTGACCATGTCCTTCTCCCTCTTTTGTGTACGATGGCTTCCTTGCTAAAGCACACCGTTCCGGGGTCTGGATGAGCTCTCTATTTCCCACCCCGCTCTTGTCCCATCCCTGGCACGTGATGGGACCCACCAACCTGGGGGAAGTGCACATGATGAAACCCTTTCCTGGTTGAATAGGCTTGCAGAATGCCAACCAATTTCCCCAGCAGCCAGGACCTTTCGGAGTCGTTCTGTACCCTTTTATTGCCGTTGCCATAGCGAAGGACACTAATTCACCTCTGTGTGAGACTTAATAAAAATCAGGCCATCATTCACTTGTCTGCAGACCATTAGAAATGCTTGGGCTGTATTTTAGAGACGGGCTTTTCACTGTCTATTAATCCACTGGCTAAAGAGCCGGTTATCTCATTCTCTTGTGTGGGATCTTTGCAGGGCACCAAGGAGTCACTGTACTGGCTTTGACTACGGTCATCTGGAAATAGGCAAAAAGGCTCACAGTTGCTGTGGTTTAATTTAAATGCCAAAATTACCTTTAGGGTGACTGTTCTTTGCTCTTCAGTGGAGGACAGAGCCACCTGGGAACCCCCTGCAAAGTACTGAGAGCACTGAACTGGCCTGACATTAATCAGAAATTGTCCTTCGTGGGCTAAATCAAAGGGGTTGTTTCACAGGCACTGAGGATTCATTTGGGCTGTGGGGCAAGTTAACAGGGTGTGCATATTGTGCAGAGGCAGATTTCAAGTGACAGAGTGCTGTGGGTCAGTCTGTGGGTTACAAAGACAAAATACCCCCAGTTACCCTCTAAACTGCAAGGGCTGCTTTCGGCTGGGAGGTGTGTGGACGATGGTTATAATTATATATTTGGCGTTCTACAAAAAATTAGCCTAAAAAAAATAGGCAAGAGGCAGCCAACAGGCAGAAACAAACCCAGTATGAGCACTGGGACATTTATTCAACGGGGGGTTTATTTTTACAGCAGCAAATTTTGCATTAGCGGGGCGGGGCATCCCCTTGGCACGGGGTGGCTGAGCTGTGACCAGTCCCCCCGGCCCAGCCCACGGCAGGGATCCCTGCATTGTGCTCCAGGCGTCACTGCTCTCAATGGGATTAGCCTGGAGAGGGGCCGAAAGGCTGTGGGAAAACCTGCGTGTGTCGCATTTCTGCCGCCGGCACCCGGCCCCGCAACGGGGGCGTTAAAAAAAAAGAGTGAGGAGCAACTGTTGAGGTGGCTGGATTTTTGAATTATGTATTCCTGGATCTGCATAACAGCCTTTCAGACGGGGCATTGTTGTTTAAGGCACGATCTGGGAATTGTGAGAGGGGACTGGGCGGGTTGGGGAGAGAGAGAGAGAGGGATGGAGAAGCGCAGAGGGTGGAAACGTGGAAAGCTAAGACTTAATCACAGGAGAGTGACAAACTGTATGAAATGAGATTTTCTTCCCTGCTTGCACCGTGCCCACGGAACAAGTTTTCACTTGGAAATGCTGATTCCTCTCCCAGCCTGATAATATTTGTCATTTTCTCTCTTGGCCAAGTTCTTAGAGCCCTGAGAGGGGACAGAGCAAAGCTGTAAGTGCAGATACCTGCTCCTCTTACCCTTGCTTGCCCAGGTGCTACGAGATTTTCCTGTCTCTAGTGCAGGTAAGATGAGCAATGGGCTTCCCTCGTTTGCTTAACGCAGGGCTGCAGCAATCAGATACCCAGGAGAGGGAGAGACATGTTTGGAAAGGGATGAAGATGGGAAGCTGCCAAAGGGGCAGGTTCATTGGCCAGTTTTAAGGAGAGCACCAATAGGGAGCAGCCTTAGTGACACAATCACCTTTTATCCTGTGTTTGAGGACTTCCTCCTGCAGTCAGAGCTGCAGGGTCCGAGGAAGAGGAGGACAGTGATGGGCAGGAGCGGGAGAGGCAACATCAGCATCAGCCCTGCCTGCAGCTCCACTGCCCCTGGGAAAAGGGCACCAGGAGCCCTCCCTCCCCAACATCCTTGATGGACACCACACAGCACTGGGCTCCAAACACGAGTGAAAACGATTTCTCTATAATTTACCCCATTTCACCCCACAGATTGTATGAAAAACACAACAGGAAAAACATTTACGTCCCCAAAGAGACCACTCCAAAACGCAAGAGATTCTGACTGTGCTGTGGCAGACCCTCCTCAAATCCCTCAAGACCCTCACTCAGGGTGCCAAACGTGCTCCTTGACTGGGAGAACACATCCCCTTTATTCCACAGCCCTGGAAAGTTGAAGGATTTTCTCTCCGCTCCAAGTCGATGTCCAACCTGCGTGAATGTGCCCAAATAAACTTGCTGATCTGGCACAGCCAGCATAAAATTCATTAGTAAAACATAACATTATGAAGTCCCCCATCAGCTAGATGTGGCCTGTGCTGCTGCTTAACAAATGTGCACATTGTCAGTTGTGACAGCCTCTGGAATTTGGCCCAAAAGCTGCAGTGCCTTAAAGCACAGGGATTTTCCACAGCATCTATTTTTAGCAATTATATAGAGTCTGCTTAGAGTAATACCTGGACTCCTCTTGATGTTCAATGTATTTATTCTCCCTGTGAGGTCGGGAGGAGTGAACACAAGCCAGTTTAGCCTTGTTGCAGCTCTTTTCTGCTGAATAGCTGGAAACTGGGGAGGTTTATGCCTCTTTATGGGGGAGGCACAGCCACAGCACACAACAAGTGTGAGGCCTTTTTAAGGCATTAGGTGCAATTAAAGGTATTGGCAGAAGTGTTAGGTGGCCACATGCTACGGGTGGGGTTTAGACAGTGTGTATCCCTCACCACTCACATTTTTCTTGACATTTTCTTTGTGAAAATATCAGAGTTACGTAGATATAAACAGGGTCTATTTTGCTGATTATGATTTTCACTCCCAGAACTTTGGATGCCAAGGAGAAGATGCCCTTGCTTTAACTATTGCAGAGTGACTTTGTGCTCGCTCCCATTGTGGGGCTCCACTCCTTGTATGAGTCCACTCCTGTGAGCCCACCTGTGGCTCTGCTCTGGGGAGCTGCAGCTGGCCCTGTGTCTTACAGCTTCTTCCTTTTGTGCCATCTGGGCTGAGTCTTTCTCTCCTGTCACTCATGCCATCTTTGGTTAGCCTTGACTGGTTTTCTTTGAGTTTTCTTGGAGTTAGTCCCTGTCTCCTGTGACTCATTTTTCACTGCCATTTGGCTTGTTACCATAAGCCATTGCCTTGAGCCTCTTGGTGGGTGAATAGGCTCCATCCACACAAACAGGTTTTTCCTTGGGCTGGATTTTTTAAAATCTGCCCAGGCTCGTCCTCCTGTCACTCGTGGTACCCTTTGCACACCCACTTTCTGCTTCTTAATGCTTGACCAGCAGATGGATCCTCTGGCTTTCCCTCGGGTTGGAGTGGTGCCTCTGCATCGTGGTGTCAGCTCTTTCAGCTACTGAGCTTGCTCTAAAATCCCTTCAAATAAAACCTGGGCTTGTATGTACAGCTGCTCCCTCCTCGTGCCTCTTATGGCACTCGATGAATTTTGGCCAGTTCCACAAAATGAATGGTTTCACTGTTCTGTTGCTCAGTGTGGGGCTCTGTTGGGCTGCCTGGTCCCTCCCTCTGAGATGTGCAGATATGGAAATAGGTGGCCAGGCTCTGGCTCTGCAAGGCTGTCTGCATGGCACGCTCTCCCTGCTCTCCCAGCCTCTGGAAAGGGCTCCCTAAGCACATCCCTGTCCTCCTCCTCTGCTGCCACAGCCTGAGATCTGTCTCTTGTTTACTTTGGCTGCATCTCATGTGTTTTCTTCGTGATCCCAATTGGAACCAGCCTGCCTCTCCTCACTGGGGGTGTTCAACTTGGAGAAGAGAAGGCTCCAGGGAGACCTGAGAGCCCCTTCCAGGGCCTAAAGGGGCTCCAAGAGAGCTGGAGAGGGACTTTGAACAAGGGCATGGAGGGACAGGACAAGAGGAGATTGCTTTAAAATGTCAGAGGGCAGGATTAGATGGGACACTGGGAAGAAATTCTTCCCTATGAGGGTACTGTCAGGTGTCCCAGAGAAGCTGGGGCTGTCCCATCCCTGGAAGTGTCCAAGGCCAGGCTGGACTGGGCTCTGAGCAACCTGGGATAGTGGAAGGTGTCCCTGCCCACAGCAGGGGAGTTGGATCTAGATGGGCTTTAAGGTCCCTTCCAACCCAAACCACTCTGTGATTCATTCTAAGAAATGGCTCTGACACTCCTTCACCAGACTTTCTACGCTGGGTATCCTTTTCTCTAACTTTGAAAGTACTATTTCTCTTGGAATATGATATTCCATCTCCTTCCATCCCACAAGACCTCTATCCCAGCTCACCACTGGGCTCCCCACTAATGGCTGTCATCATTCACTCCCAGCTGCCACTGCAGTCTGGGGGCATTTCCTTGAGCCTAGAATGATTTCTCTTGAAAATGTCTTCTGTTGAAGAAAGTTTGTTCCCATGTCCTAAAAATGCTCCCACCCCTATTTGGCAAACTGGTTTGTATCCCTAATTAAACACAGAGCCCAGAGTGTTTTGCTCTGCACTGCAAGTATGTTTCCCTTCTTTTTCTCCCTGTTTTTTTCTGTAGGATGTGTGAAAAGAGGGATATCCATCTACAGCCTCTTTCTTTCTGAGATTGCAGAAGTCCCTGAACACTTTTATTAGGTGTTCTAGAGCTCATTAATCCTGGCAGTGGCACATCATCCACTTCTTGTCTCTTTTCCTTCATGCAATAGAAAGAAATTTTACTTTCCTTTTCTCCTCTTTATTTCCCTCCTGGTAAGCTCTGGAGGCAGACTCAGTTCTTGCTTCCATTCCTTGCACAAGTGGTTTTACTCTGGAAACTCAAGTTACTTGGCAGCCTGAGTCCACATGGCTGAGTCCAAACTTGCTTTCTGGTGTGAGATGCAATAGTTGGAGCCTTTGCCATCCTTGTATGTCTGTGACCCCTCAGATGTGTGACAGATGTGAGTGAGAGAAGCCTGTGCTCACAGCCCATCCACGCTGGCTCACACGAGCACCAGGGCTCCAACACACAACCCAGTTTCCCTGTGTCAGCAGAGATTTGAGAACAAGCCTCGTGTCTGCTCCTGACCTTCTGCAGAAATGGTGCAGCTCTGCAGTGGGAGAGCGTCATGCCAGTTCTTGACTTTTGCTGTGGGCTAAAAGCACGTGTGGAACGAGCTGTAGCAGCTCAGCTGATGGGCAGGGGGTGATTATGCACCGAGGTACAGGGAGGTGTCCTGCTCCAGGAATCCAGGGAGGTGTCCTGCTCCAGCCAGCACTTGCCACGAGCAGCAGCTGAGGAGGTTGGTTACTCCATGAGCAGCAGCTGGGGAGGTTGGTTACTCCATGACCACTGTGGCCAACACTCTGTTGTGCCAGGAGTTGGTTCACACCCCTAAAGGGATGTTCCTAGAGGGGTTGCAGGCTCAGCTGTGGCTCTCAGGTGATACTTTGAGTCAGTAACTACAACACCTGTGTTCAGGTAACCCAGCCCAAACCACGGCCTGGGTGAATCCTTGCTGTTGATTCCCACTCAGGCCCGTGGTTACCACGGATTATGAGGCATGGTGACCTTCAAAGGCTGGTTTGAATTATTCTCCCTCCTCTGCCTCTCTATGGACAGACCACCTAATCCCCTGGAGATCCCAATCAGCGGGAACAAAGAGTTCTAGGTTTTCTGGGAAATGCTTGGCACAGGGGGGATTTACTGCTGTGAGGTGATTAACATTCTTGAGGTAATTTTAAATTAAAGGAAGGAAACCATAGCATCAAACTGTAGCGTTTCCAAGTAATTTCTGCAGTGGAATATCTGTAATGGAATGTCATGTCTAGATGTCTGTGACATGTTTGATTTATTTTAGGCTGGATTTCTAATTTTATTTAACCAGTGCATGAAGCCTGAGATGTGCTCTTTTGGAAAAGTATGAATACCTCCTTGGCAACACTTGAGAGAAAAAATTTAGGTAGGTTGTTGTAGTGCATAGGCCAACAGTCTTGTCACTTTGGATGTAGAAAATGAGGTCATAAAGAATTTTTTTTTTCCTTGCTGCTTTTAAACAGATTGATGGATTAAATATTATGCAAAACAGCAAGTTGGTTTTGTAATCTGTTTTTTCTGTTTATTGAGTATTGAAACACTCATAAATGATTTAAGGGAAGGAAGGCAATATGAAATGAGGAGAATATGTTACCAAATACTGGGTTTGCAGTGCTTTTTGTAGGCACTGCTTTAATAGACAATATGCTGTACTTGAGTACCATGGCATGTACACGAAATTTTTGAATGTTACATTTCATATGCAATATGCAATTTCATATGCAGTAGCATAGGAATCAAGCAGTCTGATTGCATTAATTTTGATTTAGGTTGTGCTGCTCCTGAATGACAGTCAGAACATAAAAGTTTGCATTGCAACCGCTTTGGAAAATAGCACTTGATTAGTTTTGACTGAAACAACCTGGGCTGCATCGGAAAAACAACACTTCAAAGAAAATGCTCCTTTTCCCAAGAGGTCATTAAATAATTGTGGATTATTGCAGCAAAATGCAACAAGGGATTTTATTCTAATTCAGAGGTAAGTTGTCTTTCTGAAGAAATCTTTTTTCACACAGTTACAGACGTGCATTTCTTCATGGCCCTGGCTCTGCTGTATAAGGAGTGGAGAGCAGGAGAGGCTTCTTAAAACTCTGCTTTAAAATGGTATGTGGAGAGTTAAAGTATAAACCCACTTGGATCTAGATAAGACTCTGGGGATCTTCAATAATGAAGAAAATGAGGTAGACAGAGAAAGTAAACACTTGTTCATACAGGAGTGTTAATGTCCCTTTAAAAGCCCAGACTCTGGAATCCTTATAGAATTGAACAAATAACTTTTTTTTTTTTTTTCCTTCCAAGTGAATTGCCTCTTTCTATATAAACAGTTTTGCTTGGTGTTGACTTAAAGCCACCTCATGAGCTTGGCACCTTTGCCTCTGCCCTGGCTGCCTGGGTTTCCATGGGCCCTCGGTGAGCAGCACTCTGCTGGGAGAGCAGGATCTGCTCCAGCTGTGCCATCTCCCACCTCACAGCCCGGCTCTCCTTGCCCTTCACAACTGTTGTGTCCCAAAGTCATCGCTTTAAAATGACCCTCAGCAGTTTTATGACAGTTTTAGGGCTGTGAAGCTGATTCCCAGAGGTATTTTTGTGCAACTGATTGTCTTCTGCTCCCGCCCAACCATTGATCATGAGGATGCTTTCACTGCAGTGAGGTGATAGTCACAGCCTGGTTTTCTGTTGTGCTTTGTACACAGATTCAGGTGATTTTTTTGATGCCACCAGCTGCAGATGGAAGCAGCCTTAAGAAAAAATAAAGTTAGCTGGACACTGCAACAAGTCATTCAGTGAGAAGTGACTTTGTTAGAGAAGTGTTTTAGAAAGGAGAGCTACAGCAGCAGGAGTTCCATGGCATCCTACTCCACGTGTAGATTCACTTAACTCTGTATATTTGGGGAGCTGGAATTATTCATATCTGGATTTGAATCTGATCTTACCCTGTGCAGTCCTGATGGTTCAGAGCAGGGTTTGTGAAAGCACACTGTGGTTGGAAAGAAATGGGGGTTGCACTCCTGAATCAGTCAGACACTTGAAATACTTTTTTTTTTTTTTTTTTAATCAGTCTCAAATCAGACAACTCCTCACCTGTCTTATTTTTCCTTCCAAAGACTCTGCTTACCCCAAGTCCTCTTTGTAGGTAGCATAATGCTGACTTTCATAGTTTGACTTCCTACATAAGGCCTCACCTGCCATGGAAATGCCACATTACACTGTGGCTTGAGAAGCCTTAAACACCTTGGAGAAGCTGGCTAACAATCCTATGCATTTTCCTCTCCATTTTCCTTGCTGTTTAACATGGAAGTTTCCTCTACATCATCCTTAAACACTGCTTTGCAAACATTTCTGTGGCCTTTAAGAAAGTGTCAGGATTTGCTAAATTTCCCCTAAACCTTTGTATTATCTCTTTTGAAGGTAGAAATAAACCCCAGGTAGTTTGTTTTCTTCTTGGAAACGTTCATAAGATTGGATGCTAAAAAAACTGAGTACTAGAGTGAGGGTGTTCTTTTGATTAATCAAGCACATTGTTCCAGGGTTTATTCTTAACTGCTACTTTAAAAGGAAGCCAAAACCTGTCAAAATGGCAATTCAGTAATGTGTTTAAAGGAGGGAGAGAGCTGAGCACTGGTTCAATGAGACCTGATGGCGGTGCAGCATCGCCGCTCATCCGAATTCCAGCTGGGGCTTTTCCCGGGGTCCCTGAATCCTCCCAGATACAGTATTTGCAAACTTAATCAGGAGCAACAGGTTTTTCTCATGACCTATTGTATAGCCTCCCTTCTGAATGGGCTGTTGTGCCGTGGCATCTGCAGGCAGCTCTGGCTGCTGCATAAAGGGCTCGGGGCTGCCCTTCTGCCCCTCTGTATTTCACACTGGTGCCTAGAAATGGCACTACACGTCCCTGCTTTCAAGTGACACCCAATGGTTCATTTTCTCCTCTATTCACGGAGGATTTAATTGCCCTGCACATCAAAAGCAGAATATCCCCCCCCTCCAATTACCACCCTCCTCCCTAGAAAACAGCCCAACTGCCTGTCTCGGGATGCGTGCCAGGAGGAGGATGGAAGTGTCCAAACACAGGCCAGAGGAGCCAGGGGAAAAAAAGAAACTGGCACAGACCAGCAGGTGTTAAAGCACCTTTTTTATTTTTTTTTTTTTTCTTGTGCATCTCCATCTGTGAATGCCTGCAGAGTATTTCAGCTCCTGGAGCACGGTGATTTCTAGCAGCCAAAAAGACAGACACACAACGGGCTCTGACAACTGGCAGGGTTTGTGCCCTCCCATCCCTGGAAAACTGGGGGATCTTTAAGGTCCCTTCCAGCCAAACTGTTCTATGATGCTCTGCACAGCATTACTTACAGATTTAATGGTGCTTTAGTGGGTTTGTTTTTTTTTTGGAAGGTGCTGGATGCTCTTGCCTTAAAAATACAGCTTCTGTCCACCTCCTACAGCTCTGAGCTGTTTGTCAGTTTTAAAGGATTATTCCATGAAGAAATCAGGTCAAATCCAAACTATGTCAAGAACTGGGATTTTGGTGAAAAACTAGCTTTCAGGTTGCTGCAGGGTTGTTTAGTACAACAGACAAATACCTTACAGACAAATAAACCTAATTGTTTCACCAAAAGGCACTTAATTCCACCTACCCTGGAAATTCAAACTCTCAAAATTCTGTGCTGTTTCTTCCTCTTCACCCCTTTCTACCTGGATTTCTTTTGTACCTGTTTTACGCACCTGGTAGAAGACAAAGCTCTGTTTTGTGTGTCCATGGTAGGGTTTTTGTAATACAAATTCAAATAAAATAAGGGTGACTGCATTCCTACAGTGTGGGAAGCTCCCTGGGCGTTTGCAAAGACTTTCCCTTCCAGCTTTGCTGCAATGGAGATCTCAGCTAGAAGTGCTGGTTTAAAAAGTTTGTCATCTCATACAGGAGCCAGGAAGCTTTCTAAGCTGATGACAGAGATATGTCTTCAAAGGAAACTGGGAATTTAGGGAAGACTTCACTGGAGCTGCACATCAAGGTAAGGAATGTGTTTGAATTAGTAAGCGATGAGGAAATTATTCAAACTCCCTAGAGGTTGCCTGGATGGGACAGTCTGGGGAAAAAAAAAAATGGCAGTGACTGGAAACCTTTCCAAAGAGACTCCCAGACATGAAAATTGACTTCTGCTCACATCCTGCACCCAAACCCTTTCCAGGATGCCTTGGAAATGCTTTGCCTGGTGGATGCCACTGACTCTCCAGGGAACTAGCAAAGAGCAAGGGTGGCTGAGTAGATCCAAAAAATGGTAATTTGCACCATGTCATGGTTTTGGGACTCCCAAAAATTTAAGACCAGCCCAAATAAGAGTCAGTGTTGACCTCTGTCCCATCTTCCTTGGTTTTATGATTCCCTGATTCTTCTCACCCTGCCTTGCCGTGCCACAGCCTCTCTAACTAACAGTTCCTAAATTTTTGGGGGTGTGTGGATAAAAAACCAGCCTGTGCACAAGCTGCATCTTCAGGCTCCAAGCCTGGAAATCCTTCATCATGTTTGAGTGCAGGAATGGTGTCCTTCAGGGAAATGCTGCTGTTGATGTGCTGCAGGTTAAGCCCAGGCACAGAGACAGTCGGTATTAGGGCTTCAGGGGATTTCCTTGTATATGCATGTGTGGCAATTTCAAGTGTCTGTCTATAAATTAGGAGATTAAAAGTGAAGAAAATGGAGAGAGACAGAAGTGTTTTCAAGTTTCTCCCGGCTGGAGGAAAGCCCGAGGAGACGGGACTTTGGTGAAGGCTGTTTAGGCAGCTGGAAAAAAATGCCATTTGTCAGAGAATTACGATAGTCTGGTCTAGACAAGACGAGTGCCTGTTTCCAAACCCTGAAAAATTAATGTGGGCTGCAGCTTGGAAACATAATTCAGATTTTGACAGAGACTTCTGCTGCATTAGTATGAGTACACACACATATGCAGTAGCATGTGCACATGGGGAGGGAAAATTCCGTTTGGTTTACCTCGTGGATTTATCCCCATGGTTTGTGAGGTGACTGTCAGTCACCAGGGACACAAACATAGCAGGATGTTTGCAAATGCCCAGTTCAGGGCAGTGGAAAGCCTTTTTGTTTCTCCTTGGCACTAGCTAAAAAAAACCACTAGCTGCCAGTCAGGGCTGGATTGCAGACAAGCAGGGGGAAAGATGAGATACCACCCCACTGGACTGTGTGAGCAGGCAGGTGTAGCTGCAGATCATCTTCATAAAAAGGATGATCAAAGTAAAATTTCAGTAATCTGTCTGGGTTATTTTAAATTTTTTTTTGTTTCTACTTTTGCATGTTGGATCCCCCTGCCCCTTCTCCGCCCTCCTCCTCCTCCTCTTGGGAAGGAGAGAGTGATGGACAGTGAATGCTGCTGCAGAAGGTTGTACTTCACTGGGATACAACCACAACCGGCCAAACACTCACCCAGATACTTTATAATTTCATCATATCATCACTATCTAATGTCTACATTAGGAATCTGTCCCCTTTTGCTTCTGAGCACAAGACAACCATCTGTTTATCGTCTCAGACAAAAAAAAAAACAACTTGCATGCTTTTATAGGTGCAATAAACCCCAATTTCACTGTCTGCAAGGGGTTACAGCCCTTACTTCTAACCATGGTTGAGAAAAGGTGGAGACATCAGCTCCACCATCCCCTGTTGCTGCCGGCTCCTCTCAAACTGTCCCTGTTTCATTAAAGCTGCTCCCCCCTCCTCGCTCCCCGAGCGTGGTGTTTGACAACAGATTTTTTTTTCCCTGCCAGCCTTGCTTTTCATTACTGGTCTTTGCACTTCCAGCATCTGGGAAGTAGTGCACGGAGCATATGCTGCTGTAATTTATTTATGTTTGGGTTGTGCAAGGCTGAATTCCCCTTCCCAGGGCTGTTTCCTTGATGTGTCAGAGCCTCAGTGTTTCCTGCAGTAAAGCCTTGATTCTCTGTTGTGTCACACCACGGATCCCCCCCCACAGCCTGGGAGATGATATTTTTAGTTCCAAATGAGGGTTCTGACGCTGTGCAAGGCTCAGAAAAACTTCTTTCCCTGAACACCCCTTTATGTTTTTTGTCTCTTGGATCTTGTCTGCTCGTGGAGACCAAGGTCAACACTCTTCAAAACAAAACTGGATGGCATAATTATTGTTCCGGCTCGGTTAAAAGCCTGAATGCTTCCATATTAATGTCTGTCATTCTCTTCTTTTGAGTGACAGTGCTCCTGGCTGGGAGCTGCCAGGAACAGTTTGAACATTAAAGATGCATGAGTAAAAACACAGTATTTTGTTAAGCCAGTCCATTTGAATGCCTTAGAAATATGTGTTCATATCACATCAAAACTGCCAGCAGTGGCAGGGCTTTTCCTCTGCAGAAAGGGAGCCTTGTAAATAGTTGAATTCATTGGAGTTAAAATTAGGTTTCTGTGGTGCTGACACGCTGCCAGCTTTTCCCACAGGGTAATTTATTTTTTTAAAAAATTTAAAAAGTACCCTAAAATAGTAATGTGAATATGACATATTCTGTGAACTCAAGAGTCCATTTGGACTGAAGATTTCTTTGTACTCCTTTTGTCATTGGTGTCTTAAAGGAACTCCATGGCAGAAAGCAAATGTGCCTTTCCAACACAGATTCTGTACAACATCTCCCTCCAATCTGAGCTTCTAAAAGGTGTATTCTATGAGGATATAATTAAAGAAATTAAATCCTTCCTTAAACCACTGGTCTGGGAGACTTTGCCCAGTGCTTGGGCCATAAAGATACCTTTTGTTCTCCCAACTATGTTGCTTGGATTTAAAAAGTTAAAATAGGACCCAGATGGATGTCAGTGTATTATTTTTAAGAGAAAATAGTGAACTTTATGAACTGACCAGCACTTATGTGCAGCACTGAAAAAGTAAACTGCAATTCATGTTGAACAGTGCAGTATCCTTATTTTTGTTCCATTTGTTCCACTCCAGAAGCAGAAGTCCCATTTCCCCACAGAACTGCCCACCTGGGTAACAGCAAGTTTTCTCCCTGCCTTTTGGCCCAGGTAAGAAATAAATCCTGGACTTTCTCGCAGGAAGGCATTGTTCATTTTACCTCTCTCTCCTGGCACGATGCCTTGGAGCACGGATTGCCAGCACACCCCTGGAGTCCTCAGGAACGTGGAGACGCCCACACCAAGTCTGTCAGTAGGAAACATTTCACAGAAAAATAAAAATTTCCTGATTCAGTCGAATGTAGGAAGGGAGATGTGGTGGTGTTGACCTTCACAGGGAATTGGGATCCTCTTTGAGAGTCCTCCACCCTCCTCTGCTTTTGGTTTGCCAAAGGGTCTTTCGTGCGAGTCACAGATGGATGATTATTTTGATTTCTTTTGGAAAGGTCTTGTGGATATTGATGGAAAAAGTGAGTTAGGGTTCAGGTATTACTGTCATATGGATAATTTGCCCATCCTACTGAGCACTTCAAGGGGATGAAATACCAATACTTATGTCTTTTGGCAGCGTCTGCTTTGTGCAAGATTTGTTATCCCCCAATGCAACCTACTCTCTATCAGTCCCAGATGGTGTTGCTGTACCTGCAGGTCCATTACAAGTAAAATGAGCCCCCCCACACGCACATTGTGTGTTATTTGATGTTGCAGGCAGTAAAATGCACCCAGTGAGGTTAGATCTTCAATCCCCTCATTTTTTGGTTTCTGCTAAAATCCTCATCCGACTCCCTGCTTACAGCAGGGTTTCCCTGAGCAAAGTGCAGCCAAGGTGGAGTCTTAAAGATGGTCATAAATCAACCCAGATACAATACAGGCTCTCTTTTTGACACCTCCCGTAAGCCCCTTGTGAACTCCCCTGGGTTAATTTGCAACGTTCCACGGCTTAAAAAACAAAATCCCCATTTGGAGGGCAACAACGTTACTGAAGAGTTATTCACGAAGATCAGTCACCCAGAAAAAAACACACACATCAAAGGGAAACCTTTACACAGGACCTATGCTACCAACAATTACCACACGAATGCTTGATGCTTTATTATCAAGGAAACTTGGTGAACTCTGTGATGGTATGGTAAGGCAGGATAACTAAGAGCAGTGGTTAAATCTCCTTCCAGCAGTGGTCTAGATCATGAGGTTATGGATACCTTAGATGTCTTCTGTCCTCTGGTCTCTCTTTGGCTCTGAAGAAATACCTTCAATTCTCTGCCCCCTACTTTTATATCTTTTATCAGCATCCTATTAAAGGGAGCCGAGAAGCATGAGAAGCAGCAGGTTTAGTTTCTTAGCCTGCAAACCTCAGCTTGTCTAAGAGATTTATGTTTATCTTGTAGACTGCACCTCAATTTTGATCATTTTCTTTGAGGTTTCAGTAGATCAAGAGCCTCTAAATCCAAGCAGCCAAGGAGGAACACAGAATGGGCACATGAAGGTGTACTGAAGGAGTAGAATCGATACACTGAAATGAAGATGCACTGAGAGTCCCTTACAAAGCTACTGAAATCTGTGACTGTTCTGTCCTGTCAGATTTGGCCTAGGCTTTGAAGGGCTTGCACTAAAAAATGAACTTTCCTACTTCTCATTGAATTCAATTAATGGCTGAATAAATGCGAATACTTGAATAAATGTGAATACTCGAATAAAGCGTCCTCCAAGCTTTGTCCGTGGCAAAGTCTCTCTGCATCTTGACTGGAGAAAATGAACCATTCTGCACTTTTCTTTTCTTTTTTCTTTTCTTTTTTTTTTGGTTTTGCTTGTTTGTTTGTTTTGGGGGGTGTGACAGCTAAACTAACATTTCTGCCTGCCAGAATCTCTTGGAGCGTGAAACTGTGAGGGCAAGAGAGAGAACAGCAGAAACTCTGAAAAGCAAGGCCCTTTTTTTTCTTAACATTTTAGGTGTGTGGAAAGACCTGTTTCTGTTTGCCTTACACAAAGCTGGTGGGGAGGGCTCTGAAAGTTCCCCCTGTTTGCTTTGGCACAGGACAGCAGGAACGCTATTGAGCATCTGCCATCGGGCTTGGGCTTCCTCTAGCGAGGGGCTTAGGGGGAAGCGTTGAAGGGACCAGGGGTAGACTGGGATTCAGCTAGCTGGTTGACTTCTTTTTCTTATTTTTTTTTTTTTTCTCATTTGTTTGTTGAAGAAAATGGAGTTTGATCAGCTTCTTGGGCCAAGCCAGGGTTTTGGTCTGGCTGGGTGGGAGCAGGGACTGGAGCCTGCGTGGCTGGCACTTCCAGCAGAGGTAAAAAAGCCTTTTTCCCTTCCACACACAGCCTCCTGCCTCCCCAGTGCCAGTAAAAATAAGAGAACAGCATGGCTTGAATAGCAGACCTCCCTCAAAATAACTCTGTGGTCATGAGCTGAGGGCAGAAATTGTTCCTTCCCCGCAGCACATGTGAGATAAATGATTCGCGTGGTTATTTCTTTCCCCTGCCCCTTTTTTTTTAAAAAAAAAAAGTGGGTTCAGGTTTTTGAGTGGTTTCCTTCAAGGAAGTGTATGAGAGCTATTAAATGCATATTTCTCTTGGAAATATCACTGGGGCCTTCTTTTTCTTTGCACTGGAGAAGAGAAGTGTATTAAAATATTTTCGCTGAACGGAACTTCACCGTAGTATTATAACGGGTTATTTTGCTCAGTCTTATCTATTCTTTGTCACTTTTAGATGAAGTGATTCTTCTGGCAGCAAATTGGTTTTTCCTAATCACACAATCCAGCCTGGGAATTTTTCTAATTTACTCCACAACTTGCTTCAATAGGGAAAATCTGAGGAATGCTGAGGCCCTTTTGCTCATCCCCACTCACTGGCATCCCGAGATTAAAGTTCCTCTTTTTCTCACCGCAAACCCCCTGACCCCTTGGCTTTCTGGTAGCTCAGCATCCTCTAGATGGCCCTTAGGCACAGCTTACAGCAGGATATGTGCAGGGAGAGTAAGAATGGAGTTTCCTGCTGTGAGGGTCTTACGGATTCTGTGAAATCCCGGGGGGATTCAGGGGGAATTTGCATCATAATGCACTGTTTGGTGCAGGTCTGTGCACTGAGCTGGTACACAAAAGGTAACGGAAACTAAATGTGTCAGGCATCATCTTTCTAATCCAGCAGTGGGGTCTGTTTAATCTCTTTCAAAAGGTGTCTTAAGAACTCCCAGTGTCTTCATTGAGAGCTGGGGGCTGGGGCTGTGGGGTGCTGGGGCTCCGGTGGCCACATCCCCCTGAGCTGAGGCTTAATTAACACATAGAGAGAGGCACGTCTGCTGCTAACCCAGCCCTGCTTCAGCCCGGGCAGGAGACCACGGTACTGGGTCTGGAGGAAGAGCCTGTAATCCTATAAACAGCCCACTGAGGGGCAGGAGGAGAGAATCAGGAATTCACACTCCTCCTGTCTCAAATAGGAGAAAGAGAAAAGCCCTTAGACCTGCCACTAAGCTCCTCCACCTGGACACACCTGTGCTTCCACAGGCATTTCACCTGTGCTTTGCATCCTGCAGAGTCCCCTGGCTCAGACCCCAAGCTCTAGGCTCAAAATCCAGTTTATACTTTTTCCCATGCAAATGTCAGTCTCCTAAGGCAGCTCTGGAAAGCTGAATGCTATGGGAAAGTAGAGTGGTGTTTGGAATTGGTGTGGAGGGGAAATCTGTGTTGAATAGTAATAAAGTCTTATGGCCCCAAAAGCTGTTGCCTGCAGCTGCTGCTGGCTTCTGGAAGGAGTATCATGCTTGTAGCATAAGCCCCGCTGCTTCATGCAGTTATTTTAACATGGAATCCTAAAATGGTTTGGGTTGGAAGGAATGTTTTAAAGGTCACCCAGTCCCACCCCTTGCCATGGGCAGGGACACTTCCCACATCCCAGGTTGCTCCAAGCCCCATTCAACCTGCCCTTGGACACTTCCAGGGATGGGGCAGCCACAGCTTCTCTGGGCAACCTGTGCCAGGGCCTGCCCACCTTCCTAATATCTAATATAAATCAACGCTCTGTCAGTTTGGAGCCGTTCCCCCTTGTCCTATGAACACGTATCTTTGCCCAAAGTCCATGCCCAGCTTTGTTTTAGGCCCCCTCAATTGTTATGTTATATTTTGTGATGTGATATTATGTTATATGCTATGTTTATGTTATGTTATATTATGTTGTGTTATATGTTATGTTATGTTTTGTTATGTTATCGAGGAACACAGTGAAGAGAAAAGTCTGGATTCCTCTAAGATTTAATGTGACATTAGCCAGATAATAAAGTAAGACTAACGTGCCAGGAAGAAAATGGTTGCACTGAGCAAGCAGGAACGGATGAGAAATGAAGAATTGGCACAGACAGGCCAAACTTCTATCAATACTGATCTTTGCCTGCCTATGTAGTTTCCCAATAGTAGCTTTTGGCTACTTTGGGCAACATAAAGTGTAAGAGTAAAGAACAAAAATAAGGACCACAAGGGCAAATAGTGAGAATGATGAATAAATCCAGCAGACTTTTTTCCTCAGTACTCAGAGATCATAATTACTACAAAATTCTGAGGGAGCCAAGGAGAAAATCTGAATACTTAAGACATTAAAAACCAGCAAACCACACACCATTCAGAGCAGAGTACACATCCTCCACCGAGATATGTTCTGTACACAGAGCTGGCTGTACTGGTTGTGACTCAGTTGATCTATATTATGTCTATGTGTAAAGTGCTATAGACTTTGCAAAGACACAAAAGAAAGGGAGAGGTAGGAGAAAAAATGTAGAATCCCTTTCTTTTAATCCACCTTCCAATGTTTGGCTTAGCTTCAGTGTAATTAATAACAAAAGAACAGTGTGCATTTATTAAATGAACACCAAAACTGGGATATAAATGTCTATAGAAAGAAGAAGAATGTAACACTGGTGAAACCAGTCAAACTCTTTCTCCTTGCTGGCACTGGGATCTTTGGTTTTGCCCAGCTGCTGATTAAAAGGTCTTCAGCTGTGCTCCTGGGACAAAGGAGCTACATCTGTCCAGGGTATTGACCACCATCCCCATTCCCATCTCCATCCCCATCACCCACCTGCACTCCCTCAGGCAGGGGGGATCTGCCTCTTGATCTGCAACCCCAAGGCAGTGCTGGGGAAAACTCACACCAGCTCCTGTGAGGAAGGGCCCATCTCTGTGTTCAGCCCAGAACAGAGACTGCAGCAGAGCCTCTGGACATCATCTCCTCCAGCTGCCTCAGCCACTGCACATCCCTTCTCCTCTGCTCAGCTTTCAGCAGTGCAGAAAGTGGCATTTCAGGTGGTCAGAGCCCAAAATGCTGGAAGCATTTCGGGGGTGTCAGTCACCACATGAGACTCAGCTGAAGTCATCTGCTACCTTTTGAAGTGATGCTGCGGTGGGAGATGCACCAGGAACGCCCAGCAGGGAGAGACTGAAGCCATTCCTATTGGAAGCAGCACATCAGTAAGGCCATCTATCAGTAACTATTTACAGATTGACACCCTGGGACAAATTCTGGACTTTAAATGTTTCAGTCTATGCACTGGTCTTCACCACCTGAGGGCAGAGGCCCCAGGGTTTATTAGCAGGGCTTTTGATTACCTTAATATATTCTCAGTTGATGACAGGCAACTGAAACACACAATGTATTGCCCTTCTATATATCTTCTGGCATTTTCTGGTGGTTATTGTCTGGTCAGAGCTGGTGGAAAAAATTCAGTTGCAAAAGAAAATGTGAAAATACATTGAATCTCTTAAAAAATTCCAGACTTGCGTGAAAACGTAGCTATCTCTTCATTTATTTGTTTTAAATAGCTCTTTCATGTGTTGGGACAAAGGGACATTGTATTAATAGCGAAGTGTGAAATGTTTTTCTTGTTTGCTTGGGACAACAACTGGGAATACATGGATTTGCCTATTCACGCTTTATTGTTATGACAACATTTTTTTCCACAAAGTTATTTGAAAGCCAGAGCTATGAAAGGAATAAAGTTGGCCACAAATCTGGAGGAGTTTCACGCTTTTGTTTTAAGCTCGCCTTGTAGCGAGCTTTGTCAAAATTGTGAGTCTTTCATCCGCGGTGTCTGCCCCGATTCAAGGGTTCTTTTCTTGCTCAAATACCCTTTAGTGAAACCCATTTGACTGAAAGGCTGTGCAAACACAGGCTGGCTATGATAAGAGTTCTACACGGAATCTTTTGCATGCTCTGTCAGCATGAGGTTTTTTTAGCTGCCTGTCCTAGTAAATATTCCCCCCTGTGCCCCCCCCCCCAGTAAATCTATTTTCTCGACGTGCATTTCTCACTTCTAACTGCTGTAATTTTGTGATGAATTTATGACAATAAGCCATTATGCTTTAGGTGAAATGTTAATCCACTCTGGATTAGTGTTACTTGAAAAACAGTGCCCTAGCCCAAGCTATGCTACTAAAACAAGCAGCACCAGAACTCAGGTCCCAGCCATGGCTGAGTTTGCTCTATTTTCTGCTTCTCTCTTCCCCAAGTGAGGCTGTCAAGCTTTCTTTAGCACCAAAACGCTGAGAGGCATCGTGAAGGAATCTAATCCTGTGACTTTGTTGAGCACAGAAAAGGTGCTAGAGGAGAACACGTTAATCAACTTAATCAAAGAAAAAAAAAAACCCACAGTTTTCCTT